CACACATTTTAACATGTTAATATTGTACTGTATTACACTTTACGTTAAGTCTCCCTTTGACAGTTGTGAATATTTATAATGCAGTAATACAGTACAATATTAACATGTTAAAATGTGTGGTTATTGTAACCACCTCATGTTCTGTCATTCCCTGTGTTTTGGATTTTTGTGGGTCACATTACAGGTAAACATCTGAAGAAGTAGATAGACATCTGTGTCTCTGATGCTGTATACATTTTCAGTTGTGTATGTTTTAAAATGGATACATTATATCCCTCTTTTAAATTAGCATTAGCAATAGTCAGTGGTGGGCAGCACTAATCTTAAAATTCCCTAATTCTAAAGCACTAATGCACTTAAAGTTTTAACAAAAGCTAATTCTTAAGCACTAAACTAACCCAGACCAGTCAACCCATGGAACATTCTTCAACAGACAACATGAGTCACATGTTGTCATGTTGCTCTCTTAAGACTTATCATTGACATTTCACAGCTGGATTTGGGTTCCTATATTGTCAATATATTGTCACCTGGTGGATAAGTTACACATACAGTATATGAACAAAATGAGTGACAGCTTTCACCGTCAGCTGTTAATATTAACGTTAATCAATAACATTTATTGACCTCATTTACCTAGTGCTTCTAAATTTAGCCYATAAATGTAACACGTGCCAATCCACTGATACATTTTAAAATTAGCAAAAACCCTAAAACACTAAACAGGAAATTAGTTCACCTATTATTGCTTTAGTGCTTTAGGGGAACTGTGCCCACCACTGGCAACAGTGGTTAGCTTAATTTGAGATTAGCTGTTTTAKTTACTTATATCCTCTTAATAAGTCTTATAATGGCTGAATTGCAGCCTTTTAAGGTCAGCTGTGGTGGCCATCTTCAATGTTTGATTAACATTTAGAATTTGGCAAAGATTGTTTTAGTTTTCTGTCATTGTTAGTTACTATCACATAAGGTTTCAGCTCAGTATATCTTAAAACAGCTGAATTAAAACCATTTTGAATTAATAAAAACATCTTGGCCACCYCTTGCAAAAAAGTSTAGCTCCGCCCCTGTGGTCAGCTGAAAGGAAACATGAGTGGTTTTGGGCTATCTGCTGTTTGAGTATCTGTCAGGTCATGCTGTGAGGGTTGTGTCACTCTGCAAATAATTCTCAAGGACAAAAAAAATCACTAATTTCTTTCAAATGTCTGAATATCCATCTTTATTTCAGGTGTGATTCTCAGACCGATCCACCAATAAATCAATGTAGAGAAAACAATTACCAGACTTTATTCCTGTAAAACTYTTTGTTCTATCCTGAAATTTTCAGTTAATATCATTTTCATGCCACGCCCATGAACTTCGACTTCAACTATTTTTGTGAGTAAAATAATTGGGTTTTATCCTATATTGTCATTTGTTTTTGGTAATTTTCTTTAACACATGCTGGCCTCCCTGTCGTAATAAAAGATCTCAGTGAGATTTTTATCTGGGTAAATAAAGAAAATGAATAAAATGAATCAGTGCAAAAAAAGAAGGGAAAACAGCTCAGTTAGTTTCWTTTGTTTAGTAATAAAATCTATAAAGCTGAACGTCATTAAAAAAGTTAATTCATTCAGAAACAAAAAGCRCTGCTTTCAGCAGAAGTTGTCTCAGTGTTGGCTTCCTGTGTAACTTTATTCTTGTTCCTGATCAAGTAACTAAACTTGCAGTTTATTTAAATAAAGTGAACTTTTTGGCAGCAGACATTGGAAAAAACAAACTTTTTCTTAACTCGTATTCAACATCCTGTCATTATGCTAAACTAATCTATCTTTCTCTTTGTGCTTCAGTTTTGTAAATGTCACAAGTTTATTTTCGTCTTTTATCTCGCATGTTTAAAGGAACGCAAATAAAACTTTCAGATGATTTAGGTGAAGATGAACACATCACGTCATTCAACGGTGGCCTTGGGCTTTGTCTGCTTTGCATTGAAACGCAAGAAACCTTTCCCTTTATCTAAAGCTCTTAGTGTAATTTAAATTGTAAAGTAAAGTCTCCTTTTTTCCTCTAAAGTAAATAAATGGAATAGTGCATGACCTTAAAAGGTGATTAAAACGAGAGGCAGCTGTGTTGATTATCCTTCCTTTGCTGCTGTTTACTCACAATGAGGAAATGTCAAACTGAGACATCCTGAAGCATCTCAATAGAGAAAAATCTTTTAAAAAATTGTTGAGAAGCTCCTTTGGACAGGTTCTCATCCTTATAAGCAACACTYCCACATTCAGTTCAATTCAGTTCAGTTCAAATCATTTTCTTCATAYAGTGCCAAGTCACAACAAACCTCATGTCAGGACACTGTTCACAAAAAGCAATCAATCTAAAGAAGCCCGTAGATTGTGTTGAATCTTCACTTCATCGCAGTCTCCCATCCTGAGCAGYACATGGGTGACAGTGGAGAGGAAAATCTCCCTTTTAACAGGAAGACACCTCCAGCAGAACCATGGTGAACAAAAAAAGTTAAACGATGACCAGCAAAACTGGTTGATCACATACAAAAGACCCATTCTCAACCCTTTGTCACTCCCAACTCGTCACATGTTGGCGCTTGATCAGGTACTGTCTGCATTCAGTTTTGGACGGGGAGGTGTGTGT